GTTACTTGAAAAAGTAACGAATCGTTACTGTTCGGGAAATTTTTGAATTTTGCTCCTTCACGTACAAAATAAGCACGGAATAAGACATTCAGACCGATAAACCAATGACTATCCAGCATAAAATCGCCATAATGATTTACATAAGATGCTGATCAGACATTAGGTTTATTCGTCTTGCACGTTTTGCACTCAGCAGCTCCGCTTTCTCTTTTTTCAACGTCCAAATATATTTCTATCTCATTTTAAGTTCAGAAATTTTTTACATAAATTTGTTTTGTTCGCACTGTCTAAATGAATTTTGTTATGTTTCTTGGATATGATTAATGAAACACAATGATTATCGAATATCGTGACTATCTTTATTACGAATATGACTGAAAGAATGAGTATATGAACTGGCAGCAAGCGCGACTGTGCTTCATGAGTTGTGCACGTGATCTCGACTCGCTACTTTATCCCCTGGTGGCAACACCTCCCCTTCTTTTTTTTTTAAAGATATCCTACGTCATGTATCATGCTGGAGGGCGTCTCTTACGGCTAGAACGTCTTAGTGGCTGTAACTGTAGATCTGAAACAGACTCTTGGTTAATTGCAGGACGGTTAACGTCGGAGATGTTATCAGGAGTTACGGATTGAGACTCTAAAGTTGCCATCTCTGGGTTAGCTTGCTCTTCAGTTGAAAGATCAAAGGTCTCCAATATGATATCTAATGGTATCTGATTATCTTGTTGAATTTCTTTAGTTTCAACAAGAAAACGGGGTTTCAATTGATTTGCGTGAGTCCTGACAAGGCGTTGTCTCGTCTGGACTGCTATGTTATATAAAACTCGTCCAATGCGTTCTATAACTTTTCCTGGAATCCATTTTCATTTGTTATTATTATAGACGTAAACTTCTGAATCTACTTCAAATGCTTTGGGTTTTACTCCTTGTTTGCGGTTGAACTGTTGTTCTTGACGTAATTTAGTGTCGTCTTTCTGCAGCTGTTATCGAATAGGTGGTTTAAGTAAATCCACAACCGTGCACATTGGTCTGCCCATCAGTGCCTCAGCAGGAGAGACTTTATTAGGAACGTTTACGTTAGGTGTGGATCTGTATTGTTTGAGAAATGTAGGTAAATGGTTACGAATGTTCTCCCCACTGGTGAGTTTTTGGATTCCCCTCTTGAAGGTATCCACGAATCTTTCGGCTTGGCCGTTTGAGCTGGGATGAAAAGGCGGTGTACGTAAGTGCTGTATACCATGCGATAGACAAAATGATTGGAACGTTTTGGAAATAAATTGAGTTCCATTGTCGGTGACCAGAGTTTCCGGTATATCGAAACGAGCGAAAATATCTTTCATGATTTCAACAGTGCGTTGAGCTGTGATGGTTTTTGTCGGATAAATTTCTGGCCATTTTGAAAGGGCATCGACAACGATTAGATAATATTCCCCGTTGATGGGTCCAGCATAATCTGCGTGAAGACGTTGCCATGGATACGTAGGTGTATACCAACTTGCAAGTGGAACCTTAGTTGGAGATTTTGTGGCTAAAGCGCAATTATGGCAAACCTTAACGATCTGCTCGATTTCCTTGTCTATTCCAGGCCAGTATACGTAAGAACCTGCGATGGCTTTCATGTGTTCCATTCCTGGATGTCCTTTGTGTAACTGCCTGAGGGGATGGGTCCTCGATATTGAGCTGAAATTACGAGTCGTTCTTTGAATAGTAGACAATTTTGTACTACTGAAAGTGCTTCTTTGCGATTGAAAAAAGGCTTGAGATCTGAATGAGGTGCCACAGATGTTGGCCAGTTTGCAATTGTATAAGCAATAACCTGCTGTAAAACCGTATCTTGTTCTGTAACTAATTTTATTTTGCTGAATGTTATAGGAATGAATTGTAGTGAGTCCTGTAGAACCGTTGAAATATCTTCTTCCATTGTGACTGAAGCGATGATGAAATCTTCCTCTGGTTTGTGATAATTGTTGATCAGACGAGATAACATGTCGGCATGACCAAATTCAGATGTTCTGACATATTCAATTTCAAAATCGTAGGCGAGTAATTGGAGTGCCCAACGTTGGAGTCGATTGGCGGTATAAACAGGTACACCTTTCTTTTTCCCAAAAATCATCGTAAGAGGCTTATGGTCTGTCTGTAGGGTGAACTTGCGTTCAAATATCATTTTATGAAAATTTTATGACGGCAAATATTAAAGTGCAAATATTAATGCAAGGCCTTCTTTTTCGATTTTACTATATTTTTTTTCAGTTTCTGTGAGATTTCTAGCGGTGTGACTGATTGCTTTGACTGAATTATCCGGAAATCTATGTAATATGCAAGCGCCAATACCATACTGAGAAGCATCAGCGGCTATGATGATTTCATGCTTCGGATCGAAATGAGTGAGAAGCAACTTGGACTGGAGAATTTGTTTGAAACGTTCGAATGATTCTTGGCATGCTTGGCTCCAATTCCATTTTGAATCCTTTTTCAAGAGTTGATCCAAAGGTCGTCGTAGAATGTGTATGTTTGAAATAAAATGTCCGTAATAGTTTATGGCACCTAAGAAAGAACGTAATATAGTAAGATCTGAAGGTGCTGGCAGTGTTGACAATCGCGGAGATTTTTTTAGGATCTGGGTGTAATCCTTGTCCGTCGATTATACAATATCCCAGATAATTTATTTCTGTTGCGAAAAAATTACATTTTTCTATGCGGACGTGGAATCCGTAATCGTGTTCGCGCTTGAGTAATTCATTTAGATTACGATCATGTTCTTCAATTGTAGACCCTCCAACGACGAGATCATCAATGTATACAAATACTTTGTCGAGTCCAGCGATCATAGCGTCCACAATCGCTTGAAATTCGCCAGGGGAAATTCTACAGTGACGCCAAAGAGTAAGCGATTGTAAACGAAAAGACCGCGGTGAGTGTTTATCGTCAAGAGGTGTTTTGAATTCTCGTCGACCTGAATTTGTAAGAATGCGTCTGAAAGATCGATTTGACTAAAGTACTTACAATTCGATAATTTTGCAAAAATTTCGTCTGGATGAGGTAATGGATGGTGATTTTGTTCCAAAAAATCGTTTAGACCTGTAGAAAAATCTGCGCATATACGGATTTGACCATTTTTCTTGCGAACAACGACAATTAGTGCGGCCCAATCTGAGTAGCTGACTGGAGAGATAATTCCTGCTTGCTTTAGACGTTCAAGTTCTACGTCGACCAATGGAAGAATTGAATAAGCGACCGGGCGTTTAGGTCAGAATACAGGTTTGGCACCCGTTTTAAGATGTAGAGTAATTTTTGTTTTAGTTACATGTAAGTACATAAAATTATATGTACAGGGTGCTTCCGATACATACACATCAGTAAGTTGGGTTGCCTTTCGGCAGGGGCATGCTCATCCGCAGGGATCTGCTTATCGGCATGGTATTGCAGAATAAGATTAGATCGCAAAAGACAAGAGTAATTGAATTTTATATTCTGATATAGTGTAAAATTCAATAATATAATATAAAGTATGTATTTAATAATACAAATAATATCTGATTTAAGAAGGTTGTAAGGGTCTAAAACACATATATCAATATTTATACTTTATACAAACTATATGCATATGAAAGCTGTGTTTATAATATTCTGTTTTTATTGAGCAACACATTTTTATAGATTATTTATTGTATTTGTTATTATTTTTATTATTGTTAAGCAAAAATTTGAAAAATGATAACAAGAGAATCTAAATTTTTTTGTATAAGTACTTTAAGTATTAAAAGTAATTTATGCAAATAATTTATGCTTTCATTGAGATTCCAATTAGTTTATAACAAATAAATATTTTGTTTATTTACTGAACAATTAATATCTGTATCTCACAATGTAACTTTACATAAATAATCTTGAACTCATAAAGTACTTATATAAAAAAATTGAAACTTTTATCATATATATAATGACAACTAAAAGATATATAAAGCAATCAATGAACGCATAGCGTCACTTTCGTATGGTGGTTACATGTTAAACATTTATTATATAAGCATTACAAGAGAAAAATATTTTTTGTTCAAATATGTTTATTAAATTTTAGGTTAGATTAGGTCAGGTATTATTATTTAATTAGTAAATATATATTTTATATCATATTATTGAATTTTACACTATATCAGAATGTAAAATTCAATTTCTCTTGTCTTTTGCGATCTAATCTTATTCTGCATTACCATGCCGATAAGCAGATCCCTGCGGATGAGCATGCCCCTACCGAAAGAAAACCCAACTTACTAATGAGTATGTATCGGAAGCACCCTGTACGTATACAATACATAAATATTTTGTGAATTTTCTGTTTTAGTGTCCGTAGCTTTTTTTGCGATGTCCGATTTACAGGAGCAACGACGCAATGTGAAATTTTGCGTGAAATTAGTCTCTCTACTGCCCAGACCTTGCTCCCTGCGACTTTTTGATGTTCCTAAAATTAATATCAGTACTGAAAGGACGCCGTTTCAACACCATTGATGACATTAAGAAGAATTCGTCACATTGAAGGATATTCCAAAAGAAGCTTTCCAGGACAGGATGGTAAAGTGAAAACACCTCTGGGACAAGTGTGAGAATAGAGGAGGGGAGTACTTTGAAGGAGACATAGACCAATAAGATGTACGTTAAAAAATGAAAAAAAATGTTCGGTTATTTTTCGAACAGACCTCGTATTGTGTACATAACTTCAATATATGAAATATTTTATCAAAGTTATCAGCTTTAACAAGTCGACACGTGTCATTAGAAGCCATATATGTAAGTAAAAAGCATTCATTAAAAACATTTCCACATGTTAGTGTAGGGATTTGTGCAGTTGAAAAAAAGAGATGTCTTTTTAAAAAACAAAAGGAAATTAATTTAATATAACTCAAAGGTACACCGTGCGTAAGTAAGTTCTCTCTTTCTCTTTTTTCTTCTTCTTCTCTTCTTCTCTTCTTCTCTTCTTCTGTGCGCCACCGTCGACTCCTGGTACCTCAACGCCGCGAGGGACTTGTGGCGCCCCAGGTGAACCAGCCTTAAGAGTAGTAGTGTCGAGAGTGGACACGAGAGCGCTACAGACTCACTCACTGTAGAAATGTAAGAACCGTGTAACGGAAGGATAAATAAAGCTTAATCTGTTGCTCAACTAAAGTATAGTGATTACTCCCTACATTGGTGACCCCGATCGGGAAATACGAAGGAGCCAAAAGAGATTCCAAGACGCCAGCGATTTTGCCGCGAGTTCGTCGCATACCCGCAAACGAAATAAAGCGAGCACGTGACGAATTTCGCTGTTACAGAGGCAGCCATTGCAGCATCATCCCGCGGACAGGCCCAAGCCCTCCTTATACAACAGATTACAGAAACTTTACTGCATAATCGAACACAATTCGTCGTCTCAGCGAACGCCAATACCCTACCGAACAAGAACGGCCACCAAATCATCGCTCATAGCAGTAAATGAAATTCAAGTGTGACAACAAAGAAAATAGCGCGTGCATAGCATATAAGTAGGTAATAACATAAGTACGCGTAGGAATTTGAATGATGGCCGAGGAAAGTCCACGCGTGGAATCCTATCGCATTCCAAAGATTCCGCCCTTCTGGCGAAACGCCCCCGAAGCATGGTTCATTCAGATTGAAGCGTCGTTCCGGGTTGCTAATATTACGGTAGAACG